ATATTTCTTAATACACTCTGGGTCCATTTATTTAATGGTAGGGCAAGTGCTGCTATGTATTGTATTGTTCATTCCTTACCTTCATTCATTTATTCACTCACTTGTTATTGATTTACCAAATACACTTACCAAATACATTATATCAAGACTGAATTATATTCAGTATGTAAGGGTAGTCAAGGATTCAGTTGATTATAGGAAGTATTTTATGTAATATGATAAAAATTGTTTGAGTTTTGCTACTAAAGAAGTAAGCACCAAATATGTGTTCTATAAAATTTGTTTATGTGAAATTTTAAGTTCTCTATTGATATTGGAAAAATGAGTCAATACTATAAAAGACACTTGATTTCTCATAATCTTTGAACCTCTAAGATTAGCTCTGACAACACTAGGGTGAGGAAACTGGGCAAATGCACTTCCATGAATGTGTGATTAACTCCAGGTTCCTCTCTCCCTTGTTCTCTCCTGGCCTGAGCAGCATGACTGAAGGGCTAGGCCAGTTGACAGATGGGGTATCTGGCTTGGATGACTTTACTCAGACCCATGAATACCATGTGTGGCCTGGCTACGACTACGTGGGCTGGAGGAATGAGAGTGCCACCAACGGCTACATTGAGATCATGTTTGAATTTGACCGCATCAGGAATTTCACTACCATGAAGGTCAGTAGACTCAGGCACAGTGGAACTTCTTCAAGGAGGCCAGAACCACAGTGTGGTAGAGAAAAGACTCTTAGAAAGAACCCTGGTCTAACCCCAGCAGGCCTGGATTCAAATATATATTCTATTACTATCTATATGCATTGTACAAATCACTTATCTCTGTACTTGTTTCTTCATTTATTGATAAGAGGGTTAGACTAAATCACTGGGTCTCAATTTGTTCTTATTGTTGCTGTTTCAGCACCACAGTCAGCACAGCGCCTCGGGCCCATAATATTTCCAAAGCCCACAAAAATAATTTATTTTAAAATCAGAAGGAAAAAAAAAAGGACTTTTAGAGTTGTAAACTTTTATTAAATTTTTTTTTTTTTAATTTATTGAGGAAGGGGTCTGTAAAGATAATGGTACCATGGGCCCACAAAAGTTATAAGATGATCCTGCCAAACAGACCGAGGGATATAACACATTGGTGGCACATGCAACTCTGATTCTCAAAGGAGGAGGAGGGAGACTTTGTATTTTCAACTGCCCTCCATTAATGCAGGAGCCCTGATGGCGCAAAAGTTAGACACTAGGCTGCCAACAGAAAGGCTGGTCATTCAAACCCACCCAGTGGCTCTATAGGAGAAGACTTAGTGATCTGTTCGTGTAAAGATTGTTATTGTCGTTAAGTGCCTCCGAGTCAGTTCCGACTCATAGTGATCCTGTATAGGGTTTCCAAGGAACAGCTGGTGAGTTTGAACCACTGTCCTTGCAGTTCAAACTGACTTTATAGTCGAGTGCTTATCCTACAGTGCCATACCCTAGAAAATCTATGGAGCAGATTTACTCTGTCACATGAGTTGAAAATCAACTTGACAGAACCTAACAACACTAATTCCACTAATGGTTGTGGCTTCATCCCTCCCTCACTGAGAAATCATTATATGAGATTCCAAACTCCAGAACTCTTTGTTTCTTATCTATTGTGTTGTTGTTGTTGTTGTTAAGTTCTGTTGAGTCAGTTCCAACTCATAGCGACCCTATATAGGGTTTCCGAGGAGCAGTTGATTTTGAACTGCCAATCTTGTGGTTTGCAGTCCAGTACTGATCCTATTGTCACTTATCTGGGTATGCATCTGACTCTCTTACTAGACATCAAGCTTCTCCAGAGTAGTGGCACTGCTTTATAATCGCTGTACTCTAATGCCTGGCTCCATAAAGGTTTATGAATGAACAAATCATATTATTTACTGACTAACTGTTTATACAATATACTACTTTCTTAACTATAAACAGAGACTTGAAGCAGATACTTGGACCAGGTAGGAGGAAATATTATTCCTCTTGACTTGGGTCAACATCTGGATTCCAGACATCAGTCCCACAATGTCAGTCTGATGACTTAATGGAATCTGAGTGACTCTGTCCAGTTATAGGAGTTGGTTATCTAGTGGGTTAGATTCAAGCTGGGAAGACCTTTTAAAATCAAGCCTTACTATAAAGTCTAAAATGTAAATGATTAGATTTAGTTTGTTTCTGCTAAAATACGAGAAGCTGGGTTCTATGAAGGAAAACGTGGCATCAGGATTGGAGGAAGACTTATTAACAACCTGAGATATGCAGATGATACAACCTTGCTTGCTGAAAGTGA